TTGATCTTCAGGAGTTGCAGCTGCTGGCTCAGCAGTTGTGGCACACAGGCTCAGTTGCTCTGTGGCCCGAGGGATCTTCCCAGACCAGGAATCAAACCACTGTCCCTTGCATTGCAAGGCAGATTCTCTCTAAATAGGAAAGCTCTATGTGAAAGTTTTTAAGAGATTTAATCCTTAAGAGTTCTCATCACAAGGTAGAACTGTTTTTCTTTTTATTGTATCTGTCATAGATGAGATGATGGATGTTAACTAAACCTATTGTGGTAATAGTTTCCCAGTATGTGCAAATCAAACCCTTATGCTATACACCTTAAACATGTGCAGTGATGTATGTCAATTGTTTCTCAATAAAACTGGAAAAATTATTATCAGGAATTTTCAAATGCTGCGAGAAATACTATGCAGAAGGTACCCATGGAGGAGAGTCACAAAGTCCTGGAAAGATGGGTCATAAACATGGTGCTGGATAAGTATGAGCACGTGGTCTGGAGGGAAGAGAGGAGAAAGGTTGGACCAGGGTAAATGGTCTACATTAGGAGGTAACGAGATGTAGGTTGGCTTAGGGAGGCGGGGTTGGGGGGGGGGGGGGTGGCGTGAATCGTAGTGGAGCTAGGAAGATGTATTTTTTCAAGGAAAGAAACCCTTTGCAATTCTTCCACAAGGTCGAATAGAATAGAGATTATTCAACTACTTTTTCTTCTGAAATTGTTGCCAAAAGTAATCTGATGTCCTTCTCTTTCTTGAGTGTAAAATGAGGGTTCACTGCTCACCTCCCAGGCCACTGTGAGGACAAAATGAGGTAAGGTGCCTCATGGGAAACTGCATAAAATGACAAGAGTTCTGCACAAATGTGAATTACTCAGATTACTCACCGTGTTTTTCTTCCTTGCTTCAGGACAGAGTCTCCTCACCTCAGCACTGTTGACTGTGGGGACTGGGTGGCCCATTGCTCTGCCCTGTGATGCTGAGTAGCATACCTGGCTCCACGCTCTAGACGCTAGTTCCCAAGTGGCACCAGTGGTAAAGAACCTGCCTGCCAATGCAAGAGATGTAAGAAATGTGGGTTTGATCCCTGGGTCGGGAAGATCCCCTGGAGGAAGACATGGCAACCCACTCCACTATTCCTGCCTGGAGAATTCCATGGACAAAGGAGCCTGGAAGGCTACAGTCCACAGGGCTGCAGAGACTCAGATAAAACTAAAGCGATTTAGCACACCCAAACGAATCCCACCTATGACAACCAAACATGTCTGCAGATATTGCCTCCCCACGGCAAGATACGAGGAAAGGGGAAATGATCCCCCACCCCTATCCCTGAGAACAACCGCCTCAGGGGACAGAATCCTCATTTGCAGACCTCTGTGCTAGCCGGCTGCCTGAAGAAAATAGGAAAGCAGAGCTGTAGAAGGAAAATGGACTACATGCAGAAAGAAGGAAAGGAGAACAAGGGTGGCTTTGCTAAGGGTGCAGCTCCACAGCCCCTCCTACTTACAAATTTCTATGTAACGATGATACTGTGGATGACGTGATCTCAAGCTTTAACGGATACAAGTTCCTTCTATTGACCTGTTATATCACAGAGAAGACAGAGTGTCTATGATAGCAGCATTTTGTATGGTGATCAGCTGATCACCAGAGTGAAAAAACCTGATTTTTGGCCACGCGCTGAGGTGTGAAGCAGGGTCGTCAGGCCCCAGTGGAGCTTAAAAGATCTTGCTGGCAGGAAATCCAGTGCTCTGCTTTCTCAAAGTGGTCAGTGTTCCCACTGAAATCAAGTCAGTCTTTACACAAATATCATTCTGTTTCCAAAGTGAGAGTTCTGGTCAACCAGGGAATAGACAAAAAGGTGAAGGCAATAGTAAAAGGGCAGGGTAGGGGAGAGAGGCAAGAAAGAGAGGGAGAGAAAACGTGTGAATCAATAAAGGAATATAACAGAAACAGCATCTAGATTTTTCATTTGGACATAGATTTTTTAAACACAGTCATTAGTTCATCTTTCTCTTCTCTTGGGAGTTGACTCTGCTTTCTATTTGTTATTAAAGAACTACAGTGGAAACATGAGGCTATTTGAGCAAGGCTGGCATGGCCTTGCAGATTGAAAGCAGTGAAGTCAGCCCCAAGCTCTGGCTCTTGAATATAGTCTCAGGCTTCCTTCCACCGGAAGGAATACATTCCTAAACCATGTATTGAAAATAGAGAAGTGGCTCTCTAATTTTACGGTGCTTCTGCAGCTGCTGAGAGCTTACTAAAATTTCAGATTTCCAAACTCCACCCCCAGAGAGTCCTACTGTGGTGCAGTGACTGACCGAGTGATGCAGGTGGGGCCTGGACCACAACCAGAGAAGGACGGAATCATTGCTCAGTTTCAGAGTGATGCAACTGTACTTCACTTGGAAAGGAAATAAACTCTGGTCAAATGCTTTGAGGTCAATTTCAAATGTGTTTTTGCAGTCTGGTCAATTTAGATAGATAGACTATAACTGCAGTGCCTTGAAGTCTTCTTCTGAGGATTAATGCAAAAATAAAATAACAAAATATAAAACAACCCCAGAAGTCTCGAAAAATAAGGCAGAATCTTGTAGAAATTTTTGAACATGCAACAGTGTTTCACATTGCAAAGGCTCTAGAATTTCTCTGTCCCCTTCCCCTTCTCCCCCTCCTCCATGGAGCTCTCTTCTGGCCCTGCCAGATGAGGAGCGGAAGGAAAATGTGAATGGTTTCACAAGGTCTCATTCTTGAGTCTCAAGAGTCCTCCTGAGTGACATGAAGGTAACAGTTAACTCATAAGGTCATTTTATTTGACAAATAAAAGCCTAACCTGGGCTACTTGGCAATGGCATATTATACTGTAACTGTTCAAGGACCAGTTCTCTCTCCCCTTCCGGCTTATGAGTCCCACTGGGCAGGGTTCCCTTTTTCAACAGGTCTCCTGAGTGGGAGCTTATACCACGCCTGGCACAGCAGAATACACCTGGAGGAGGATGTGGAGGAAGGAGACTCGGAGGTCATTAAAGCAGAGCTCATGGGAAACCTCTCACTTCATAGCAAAATAGAAGGGGAGAAAATGGAAGCAGTGACAGATTTTATTTTCTTGGGCTCCAAAATCACCGCAGATGATGACTGCAGCCATGAAATTAAAAAATGCTTGCTCCTTGGAAGGAAAGCTATGACAGACCTAGACAGTGTATTAGAAAGCAAAGACATCACTTTGCTAACAAAGGTGAGAGTCATTTCCTAGGCAGGTTGATAAGAAGTCTAGGGGTCCCCAAGGAGAGAGAGGTCTGGGATATTCAAGGAGGAAGAAAGGACAAACTTTTTAACTTTTTTTTCCTCTACATTCCTTAGGATTATATAACAATAATGTATCCTGCCTGAGGACAGTCTTTGGATTAAACCCTCTGGCTAATCCTGTTATCTTAAAATGTAAATTATGGGAGTAGGTCTGGTCTTCACAAGGATGTATCCTGCCTGAGGACAATCTTTGGATTAAACCTTCTGGCCAACTCTGTTATCTTAAAATGTAAATTATGGGAGTGGGTCTGGTGAGGTCTTTGCAGCCTCCAGACATTCTTTAGATTCATTGGAGAGTATATAACTCCATTGCTAATACTAGCAAGCGGGTACTCTTTTGCCCCCTTCTGATGCCTATGTCAGAAGCTTTCTCTATCTCCTTTATACTTTAATAAAACTTTATTACACAAAAGCTCTGAGCGATCCAGCCTCGTCTCTGGCCCCGGATTGAATTTGCCTCCTCCGGAGGCCAAGAATCCCGCGTCTAATCGTTCAGCAACAACCTTTCAAAGGTGTGTATAATCAAAGCGATGGTTTTGCCAGTAGTCATGTACAGATGTTAGAGTTGGATGCTGAAGTTAAGCACTGAAGAACTGATGCTTCTGAAAAGTGGTGCTGGAGGGCCCTTGAGAGTCCCATGGACTGCAAGGAGATCAAACCAGTCAATCCTAAAGGAAACCAATCCTGAATATTCATTGGAAGGACTGATGCTGAAGCTCGAATACTTTGGCAACCTGATGCAAACAGCCAATTCATTGGAAAAGACCCTAATGATGACCTAAAAGGTCCGTCTAGTCAAGGCTATGGTTTTCCCAGAGGTCATGTATGGATGTTAAGAGTTGGACTATAAATAAAGCTGAGCACCAAAGAACTGATGCTTCTGAACTGTGGTGTTAGAGAAGACTCTTGAGAGTCCCTTGGACTGCAAGGAGATCCAACCAGTCCATCCTAAAGGAGATCAGTCTGGGTGTCATTGGAAGGACTAATGTTGAAGCTGAAACTCCAATACTTTGGCCACCTGATGCGAAGAGCTGACTCATTGGAAAAGACCCTGATGCTGGGAAAGATTGAAGGCGGAAGGAGAAGGGGATGACAGAGGATGAGATGGTTGGATGGCATCACCAACTCAATGGCCATTGGTTTGGGTGGACCCTGGGAGTTGGTGATGGACAGGGATGCCTGGTGTGCTGTGGTTCATGGGGTCGGAAAAAAGTCAGACACGACTGAGCGACTAAACTGAACTGAGCACACTCAGAGATAATGAAGGACAGGGAAAGAGTCAGACAAGACTGAGCGACTGAACAAAAATCTCAGTGGCTCCAGTGAGTAAATTCACTCGGAAATCACACCTGTGATTTGCCAGACACAGGCGTGAAGGCCAGCAGCGACCTGCCACCTTCTGCCAGAAGAAATAGAGCCCGCAACAGTCAGTCACAGTACCGGTCTCACTGCAGACGCCCTTAGGGAACCCAGGAGCCAGAGGGGGAGGAGAGGGTGTCATGAGGTCCGATTTTGCCTTTCCCACGGCGAACTGCAGTGAAAAGCAAGTTGAGATTGGGCTCGGATACTGCACGGAGAGGAAGATGACCTCGGCAAGGATTTTCCTGGGGGGCTGCCCTCCGGTCACTGAGCCTCAGAGTCAGGCGCCACGACCCGGGTGGAGGGACAGCGAGGATATGACGCCGCGTGGAGCGCTGGCTTTCTCCTAGCGCGGCCCTTAAGCATTCTCCAGAAAATTCTATCTCGGAGAGAGCTGCCCTGCAGGACGCCAAGCTCTGCAAGCTAAGGTACCCGGACACCCGAGACCCTGCACGGCGGACCACATCTTCAACAAGACACCGAGAAGCCCAAACAACCCCACCCGAGTGCGCCTGAGGACACTACTTCGCCACCCGCAGCTCCGCCTCTAAGAGAGGGGGCGGGAGGGCCTCGGGGCGTGGCCCGGAAACGTCCGGCCAATCCTCGCTGCAGGTTTGAGGTCACGTGATCGCCAGCGGGCGCCCAGCTCTTCCGCCTTCTGCTTCGCAGCCCCGCCCACCATGGGGAGAGGCCGCCGGCGCGACTCTGGGGAGGAGGGTCTTGCGGTCACGTGATCGCCAGCGGGCGCCCCGCTCTTCCGCCTTCCGCCTCGCAGCCCCGCCCACCGTGGGGAGAGGCCGCCGGCACCACCTTGGGGAGGATGTTCTCGCGAGAACCACAAGGACTTCCTATCCTTTCTTCCGTCCGTCTCCACCTGGGGCCGTTCCCCGAGATTGAGGCTCCGAAGCGCCGGGGCTCGGACGTAGCGGGCAGGGGACCCCACCACGACAGCGCCGAGGGCGGGAGATTCGGAAAGGTTTACTGCCGGCTCGACCGTCCTCGTCAGGACAGCGGCGTTCCACCGGGGCCGCACGCCCCCTGGTGTCGACTCGTCGCCACAGCCGACCGTGGTGGCCCCCAGGCCTTTGACCTGCCTTCGCCGGGCCGGAAGTGGGGACGGGCTTAAAGGACGTCTGTGGGGCTTTTTCGCAGGGGCCGGAAGTGGAGAGGAATTTAACGGACGTCTGTGGGGGCTTTGGCCCCGCGCTTTTCCAACTTTAAAAGCGCTCTGTAGCCACCTGCACTCCGCCTACCGAAAACTTTTTGAGGCACGGGAGAACGTTCCAGCAGGAAAGCCGGGGTCGACCCCGCCTGAGATGTGGCGAGAGCAGCTGGTGTGTGCGAACCCCGCAAAGGCGCCAGCCTCTCGCCCAGGTCGTCTCACCTGCCCTTACGTTCCCCTGCAGGGCGGGCTTCGTCCCCGCCTTAGAGATGAGGGAAGAGCGTCAGACGGGCTTGAGGAACGTGCCCCAGGTGGCACACAGCCAGGCTCTGCGGCCCGGCCGCGTGTGTCTCCAGTCAGATGGCGACTGCCGCTTGTGAGTGGCCAGCTGCAGGCCGGCACGTGGGCCCTGAGGTCCGAGGGGGCAGAGCTCGGCCCAGTGCCCCCGGGCACTTGTCACGGGTGGGCTGTGCCCTTGGTCCCGCGTTCCAGGTGTGCCCGCGGCCGAACCCAGCCTCGGGTCCCCAGGAGAAGACCGCCTGTGGGCACTACCCACCAGAGCCCTTCGCAGGCCTATGGCCTTGGTGCCGATTGTGGACCCCAGCCTCCGGGGACTCTTGCTCATGCCGGGGCCTGGACGACGGAGGAGGAGGCCCACCGTGGATTCCAGCTGTAATAAGAAGGCGCTGGCTCCCGGGGGCCACTTCTTAACCACAGAGCCGGGCAAGGGTGAAAAATGGGCTCCCTCACAGACACTTCTCTGAGGGAACTCCTAAGGGGCTAGAAGCATTGTCCCGACTGAAATCCAGTCACAGCAAATGAACATTGGTCTCCAGCCGCATGTGATAAGCTTGGTAAGGCCAAAACAATCGGCTTCCGCCACCTGCTGGTGACTCAAGAGGTCCCCCCACCACCATTTAAAACATTGTGTGGAAATGCCTAAAATTCCACCATTAGCAACTCTTAAGATTATGAAGTCCTCTTTAGGTTCTTTAATAGGTGAAACACTAAATCCCTAATTTTCTGATGGGAGAGGTGGTAACTTAAAAAACTGGGTTCCCAGGGAGAGGGAAGAGAGGACACACACAAGGGGAAGCCTCCTCCCTTGGAGGAGTTCCCCCCCACCCCCCACCCCCGCAGGAACACTGGAGAGCTCCAGAGATGTGTTTCCACTTGGTGAAAATCTCTGGGCAGATTGTAAAACCGGGTTTCTCCATGTCAACTTAAGACTCCACGAGCTGTAGAGGGGCGCATCTCTTGCCTTTGTGGGATTCTGAGACCATAGGCGCCTACTGAATGCTCACGGCCGTCTGTGGCCACATTCCACGGATATGAAGGGAAATCCCAATACTACTGACCAGACTTGCCTGTGAGCAGGCACTTAGTTGTAGAGTAAGGTCTGGCCTGTCCCAGGATTCATCAGAAACCTTCGTTTCCCATTCCAGGGAACAAAGCAAAGCCATATTCAGAAAAATAATGATAAAGAGCCTTAAAGTCAAGGAAAAGTGAAGTGAAAATGAAAGTCACTCAGTCGTGCCCGACTCTGCGACCCCAGGGAGTCTGTACAGTCCATGCAATTCTCTAGGCCAGTATACTGGAGTGGGTAGCCTTTCCCTTCTCCAGGGGGGTCTTCCCAGCCCAGGGATCAAACCCAGGTCTCCCACATTGCAGACAGATTCTTTACAGGTCAAGGAAAACAAGTTGATAAATCAATGCTGTTGACTCCAAAGAAGAGACTAAGAAGCCTAAGATGACATAAGCAGTCAACGTTATTATTAAGCTGGGAAGAATTACTTTGTTTGGACGTGGTTTTGACTCCTATCTCTTTATCTGTTCAGACTCCTCTGATTTTAGCCCAGGTTGGTAGTGTGGAAGTTGCAGGGGCAAGAGATTTGACCTTCCTTCCTCACTCTTCTAAAAATAGATTCAGAAAGCAAAAGCACTTCCATACATTTTGAGAAATGTTATCAAAATGTAGCAGGTGGTCCAAAGGAAACACTCTGTCATCGTTCCCCTCACTTTCCCAACCCTAAGCCCCCCACCCCTACTTGCTATCCCCACCCCAGCCACCACCACCCCCCCCCCAGGCAAAATGCTTGCTGCAGGAGTAACACTGCTCAGAATCTGCCATGATTCAGGGAAGGGAGAGCTAGTCACCAGTGACCTTGTCCGTGCCCCAGTAAAGACGCTGTCACTTCTAACTATATGCAGGGCCAGTGCACCCAAAACTCGTCGGCCTTTTACATCTGTACACCGAGGAGAGAGCCCTCAGGGGAAACTACCCTGCTGACCCCTCTATCTAAGATTTCTAACCTCAGGGCTGTGAGAAAATAACATCTGTCCTTTAAGCCTCCCAGTCTGTGGCACTGATACTTTGTTACGGCAGCCTGAGGCGACTGATAACACAGGACAGCCACACAGCCAGGGAGGAGAAGGGGCCGGACAGAGATTCCAATTCACTTTCCAGTCGCACGTTGTTTTGCCTCCCCGGCATCCTGCACCTCTGCGCGAATTGGGATACTGCTGTCAGCCAGGAAACTGCACCGGAGATGACTCTGATGAGAATGGTGCCCCAGAGTTGATCAGTGCATGACATGTACCCCCGCACAAGGCAGCCGAGAGTGGAAAACGCACTTGGACGTCCTGCATGGCAGAGGGCTTTACAGGCCATTGATCAGGCTGAGGCTCCCTAAGCGCCAAACACGATCCACTCTGTGTTCAGGACCTATGTTCAGAGGGACCACTGAGGTCTCAGGAAGGGTTTGGCATTAGGGCTCCGAGAAGTAGGGCTTCTTGGGGTGACCTCGGGGGCACTACAATATGTAATTGCATAGGAGCTCTCCACCTTGCTTGCTATGGCATGATGCTTTTAATATTGTACCTCCTGTGAAATCCACATGTAATTTATTAGGTTTGCTTTTTGCTTAAATAATCAGAGGTTTCCATTCAATGTTGATCTGGGTCAACTGGCTCAAATGTTATATATCTTTTTTTTTTTTTTCCAAATGTTATATATCATATTGTAATTAGGTTGCCTAAAATTATCTGTTTTCAAAAGAGTCTTTAAAATAAGAACAAGCTGGGGTCTGGAGTGATGACAGAGTGTGGTAGCAGTTTGTATGGCCATTGTCCTAACATCAACCTTCTCATGAAACAAACATAACAAAACACCTTATATTTACTCAGTTGGTTAAATTACTGAAAGACTTTTAGGAAGTATAACAGTTTCTGGATGTGTCCTTTGAAGGAAAAAGATTATTTTAAAGACAGTTTTTCTAAGCGTAAGCAAAAACAATGATATAAAATGAAAAAAGGAAGAAAAACAAGGATCAGGAATAGCCTGAGGGAAAAGATCTCTTAAAGACTCATGAGGGACTTCCCTGGTGGTCCAGTGGCTAAGACACCACACTCCCAATGCAGGGGGCTGTTCAATCCTATTAGGGAATTAAGAGCCCACATGCCACAACTAAATTCACATACTGCAATTAATACCCAGTGCAACCAAATAATGGTTTTGAAAAGGGCGTGCACACAAGGAAACACAAGATCCATTTGGGTGTACAGCACACAGCATGAGGAGTGGAGCTGACACCAGTCTCTCTTAGAGAACAAAGTTCTTCTTTGGGAAAAAAAAAAAACTGTGCTATGCTGTATGGTAGGTGAATATTTTCCAAAATGGCAACTGTAATATTTCTAGTCCACAAAGCACATATGGAGAAACAGTTTTACTGTTTTACAAACCAGAAGCAGTGTTGGAGGCACGTGTTTTAAGATGCCACCTCCTAGGGCAGCACACGGTCAGAACACAGAACAGCATCCTTGTAAGTTCCAAGTGCAAACCCCTCAAAATTGCCCTCCAGCAGAGAGGCACTTGAAAGGAGCCCCTCATAGAAAGAGGGGCATTTTCCAACTCATCTCCAGGTCTCCCAGACTCTTTCTTCCAAGATGAACTTTCCCTTGGGAGCGGTGTTTTGTTTTTTTAACTCTGATTTCTTTGGTGCCCATCAAAATTCCAGTCCTAGAGCAAAGTCGCTTTGCTCTTATTCCCTGAAGATAAACAAAATTAGCTGATATTTGCAAAAGAATGTTAATATAACAAAGACTGCAGAAAAACAAGGGGAATCCTTTTTGAAAATACAAAGAGCCACAAACACCTAAGTTTCCATTATGGAGGTTTCCGGTGCTACCATGACCATCTCTTCCCCTGGGGTCCTGCCCTCCTGATGCCTGCTGGCCTCTAACCCCCTCCATCCACCAGTCAACACAGCTGACACGTCCTCTGAGAACTGAGGCAGGAAACGGAAAGATGGTTTCCTGTCCTCTGTCCATAAAGGGATCCCACCCATGCTGCTGCCACCCAAGGGGCTCTGGCCTCTCGGGCCCCAAGCTCTGGGCTTTGCAGGGTGCATTTGTGCAAATCCCATTCATCACACACCCATCATTTTGTGGGTAAGCATGATGACATACGTGCCATAATCACACCCAGAGCAGCTCACACATGTCCCCTGCAGAACCACTCTGGAATGCCATGAGATACAACATACAGAATAAAGACTTGGGAACTGGCCCTTGGAGTTTCCGGCCAGTAAAAAACGTCCTGCTTTTCAACCAAGAAGTTTAAGCCTAACTCCCCCCTTCACACCCTTTCAGCAGCCCCATGTCTGACCCACACCCTCCTGTATTATCTTCATAACCTGTCCTTAACCTGTAGGAAAAGCCCACAGCCTTGATGCCTGTATTTCCGTAACAAAGAAAAAATGAGTGCCGACATGACCAAGCGTTTGTTTGGATTTGTGCATTATGTGTAACGGGCCTACGATTCTGTAACATTAAGTTGCGTTCAGACACGTAACAGATCACCTTAACGGCAAAGAATCAGATTTCACAGAATGAAAGCTGTCCTGGAGAAACCGGGGTGTGTGGTTGCCGTAGCAATCGACGCCTTCCAGAAGGAGTCCGCGCTTGGCTAATTACAGCCTTCTATTTTTAGACTCATCCGCGTGCCTCTCCCCCCACCCCAACATTTCTCACACGACGACTTAAGCAGGAAAACACGCTGTTATCTGTACAGCCTGTGCCCGTCTCAAAATAACTTGTTTCCAGTCAGCCTCCGCCTGCCCTGGGAGGCGAGGGCCTTGTTCTCTAAGCCTAGGGAACGCCGAACTGACGCCTCTGAAGGAGCCCCGCGTACTTGACAAAATGGGAATGAGACAGCATCGCGGACTGCCAGGGCCATAGCTGTCTTGTGAGCGCCCGGGCTTGGGGTGCAGCCACGGGATGGGGTAGCGGCGGCCAGCCCACCAGCGCCCTGAGCCGGGCCGGGCCTCGCATTGCCTTGTGGGAAGCTCTTTAGTAACCAGACAACAGTGGTGATGGAGCAGGAGCCCTGATGGGCGGTCCAGAGGCTGTGGGACCCTCTCAGTCAAGATGAACTTCGGGCTGTGTCAAGACCCAGTACCCGGAGCCTGAGAAAAGGCTTCCAGCAGACTTCCCTAGTGGCTCAGATGGTAAAAAAATCTGCCTGCAATGTAGGAGACCCGGGTTCCATCCCTGGGTCGGGAAGATCCCCTGGAGAAGGGAATGGCGACACACTCCAGTATTCTTGCCTGGAGAATCCCATGGACAGAGGAGCCTGGTGGGCCACAGTCCATGGCATCGCAAAGAGTTGGACAAGACTGAGTGACTCACACTCACTTTTCCACCCGTTGAGTCCTGGCTGCCTGAGGTACCACAACTCCCTAGGAATGCCTGTCCTTCCCACAGCAGGGCCACGTGCTATGGAAATAGTTGAAGACCAGCCAATGACATTAGGCCAAGGCTCTGGGGTCTTCAGACTTGTTGTGACAAGGGAGTCAGTCACCGTCACCTGCTGTATTTGTTCGCTTGGGCTCTCCTAACAAGGTACAGAGCTTAAACAGCAGACTCGAGTCTTCTCACAGTCCAAGAGATGGTGGGATCAGAAGAGCCATGCTCCCTCTGAGGGTGCTGGGGAGAAGGATCCAGACATCCCTCCTGGCTGCTGGTGGCAACCTGTGGTGTCCCTTGACTTGTAAATGTGTCGCTGGATCTCAGCTCAGAGCTGTGTCCAACACCAGACATGTGGGGCTAGGAACCCACTCTACTCCAGTCTGACCTGTCATCATAACTCATTACATCTGCAGTGATTTTGTCTCCAAATAAGGTCACATTCTGAACTACTGAGGATCAGGGCTTCAGCATACAAATTTCTGGGAATCCCCTGGCAAACCAGTGGTTAAGATTCTGCACTTTTACTACCGAGGGCCCGGGTTCAATTCCTGGTCAGGGAACCAAGATCCTGCAAGCCATGCAGTACGGCCAAAATGTTATGTATATATGAATATCTGTACTATATATATGAATTTCTGGGGGACAGAACTCAACCCATAAACTTGCCTGTGGCAGAGACTTAAAAGGCAGCAAAGCAGGAAGTGGCAAGGTGTTCGAGTGAGAGAGAGGGGCGGTTTAGGCAGCCCCGATGGGAGGCTGCTGGCACAGGGAGGCTGGAGGCAGCTGACGGGAAGCAGGCATCCTGGGTGGTTGGTGAGGAGTGCGCTCACGGCCAGCTTTCCCCGGTGGGTCCTGAGCTGGAAGTCAGGGCCAGATTCAGGGACGGCTGGCAGTGACTGACCACATCCTGGCGTGGGGGGCTCCTCGTGGCAGAGGGCCTATTCACATCTACATGGTAGCTCCAGTGAATCTGCCTTTCAGCGCAGATGACACCACCTGGGGTTCTCAGGGTGCTGCTGGGGCTGGAGTGGGGGCGCAGGTGGTCTGGGAGGCCCAGCACTGAGAAGGCGGCGTGCCCACAACGCAGGCGCGAGATGGCCAGTCCCGCAGGGCAGACCCGCTCAGACCCTTGTCCGCAGAGCGGCAGGGTGCCCGGGGGCCCCATCTGCAGCTGTCTCCTTTGATTCCCATGAGGCCGAGCACCGATGTGTGGTGGGGGATGTAGACAGGCTGACACCAGAGTAGCCGTCCTCTGACTTTCTGGCTTCCGTGCGTGCTAGGTCACTTCCTGGAGAAGGAGGTGGCAGCCCACTCGTCTTCTTGCCTGGAGAACTCCATGGACGGGGGGGCCTGGTGGGCTGCGGTCCGTGGGATCGCAGAGTCGGACACGCCGGAGCACACAGCACAGACAGGTCACTTCGGTCATGTGAGACTCTTTGCGACCCTGTGAGCTGAAGTTGACTTACAGAGTCTCAGGTGCACGGTAAAGTGATTCAGTTACACAGGTACATATGTGTTATTTTTCAGATTATTTTCCATGATAGGTTATTACAAGATATTGACTATAGTTCCCTGTGCTATACAGTAAAAAGCAACTTTTGTTGCTTGTTGCATGTCTATGTTTTTTAATTAGAAATCTAGCATTCTAGTCACACTAAATCAAACAAGTGGGCTCCCAGTGTCATCAGTTTTTTTTGTTAGGCAAAAATTCATAAGCTTTCTAAAATATATATTATACACATTATTTATATATAGGTATACAAAAGCTTTTTTTTTTCTACTATGCTTGATCAAGTCTTGAGAAAGAACATCAAAAAAAAAAGATGGAGAAATTGGAAAACATAAACTAAATGAAATGGGAGCACTGATAGGGATCCTTTCCTGGAGCTGAGGATGGGTTTTAACCTCATCAAATCACAAGGCTAATAATGGGGAGAGAAACAAAGGTTTCTGTTTGTGAAAGGAGGGGATGTAAAAAAAAAAATTAGACCAATGCCCTTCTTTAAATTGGTTAATTGTATGTAATGTGATTTCACTTCATTTCAGTAATAACAATGCCCTTATTTTAAGTCATGTTTAATTTTTTAATCCTATTTAAACTGTTTATTTCAGCCGTTCACCTAATAAGAAAGAGCAGGGAATCCCTTGGCAATGTAGTGAATGGTTAGGATTCCAAGTTCCCAGTGCAGGGGGCACCAGTTTGATCCCGGGCCAGGGAACTAAGATCCCACCTGCCACATCACACAGAAACCTGCAAGAGCAACCTGGAACTTCTCATTTCATCAAATATGATAAATGATATATAATATTAATTTTTAGAAAAGTTAGTGAATCACGTAAAGAGTCTTTAGAGTGCCAGTGTTAGTCGCTCAGTCGTGTCCAACTCCTTGTAATTCCATGGACTGCAGCCTGCCAGGCTCCTCTACAGAATTCTCCAGGCAAGAATACTGAGTGGGTGGCCATTTCCTTCAGGGGATCTTCCTGGCCCAGGAATTATACTCCAAATGTACACAATGATAGAGGATCAGAGACGCTCAGTTCTCAGAATGCAGGCCTGAAACTCCTGCCTGATGGACCCATATCTATCAAAAACAGACATCCGAGCAGGGCTTCTTGGTCTGTCCCCAGAGGCACAAAGACAGGCGTGAAGGAGAGTGTGGGGGAAAGTAAACCATTGCTGTCATTCAGCTGCTAAATTGTGCCCGACTCTTTGCGACCCCATGAACTGTAGCACACCAGGCCCCTCTGTCTTCCACTGTCTCCCAGAGTTTGCTCAAATTCATGTCCATTGAATCAGTCAGAAGTTTTGGCTGTTAACCAAAATTTCAGCAACGGGGATCTGATTGAAATAAAGCGGCGTTTATTTGGAGTTTGTTAGGACTGCAGCCAGGAGACACAGATTCCAAAAGCACCTGCGTTGTGATCCAAAGGACTGCAAAATTGAGAAAGCCCACAAAGGCAAACAGTGCAAGACCATTGTTAGCTTCATGAGTTGTTTATCAAACGCCCTAATGGGAGCCACCAGGAAGGACTGGTTGGGGTCCAAGATGGATACATAGTTACAAGGGAAAACATCCTGAGACCACAAGGTTGCAACTGGCAGGTGGTGTTTTAAAAATAGCTGATGAGGTTCTTGAGTTTGGTACAGTTCACAGAAAGTTCAAGTTCTCAGGGGTGCAGGGACGTGTCTGAGACCAGACAGCTCCTTTTTTTATATGCCTGAGCTGTGATTACTCCACTATGACTTCAGTCTGTCACCCAGGTCAACTATTGCTGCAACACTGTTGCACAACACACAACCCCAGCACTCAGTATCTTGTTGACTTGTAGATGGTGTTGCAAGTTTCCCGAGGTCAGGGGGATCTAGGCTGCAGTGTGGGTTCTGGTCTCCTCCCCTAGTTCTTGTCCTGATAAGTAACAGGAGCCCCAGGGAGAGAGGCACGCAAGACTTCTGCTTGCATCACTTGTGCTGATGTTCCATCGGCAAAGTCAGCCAACCTGTTCGGGCCCAACACCCGTGGGTGTATCATGGCTACAGGGACGGGGGAATTATTGCTCAAAAATAATTCACGTGATCAGTTTGAGACAGAGAGGAGAGAGCAGCCATGATGAAATCTCTGATGCAATGTCTTCCAGAAAACTTGAAAAACATGGTGCTTTGATTTAAAGTGTGATATCAGAAAGACTCGTTTTAATAAGAGTCTTCTAAAATTGTGTGTGTGTGTGTGTGTGTGTGTGTGCGCGCGCGCTCAGTCGAGTCCGACTCTTGGTGACTCCTTGGGCTGTAACCGTCCAGATACCTCTATGGGTATCTTACAAAAATAAAATGTACTTCTGACTCTGCATTTTGAAACACATGTTAAAATTTATCAAACAGAAAGGATGTACTTTTTGTAAGTAAATCAAGTTGATAGGGACAGAGTGTTAAAGGGACAAAGTAGATGATTAAATCGTCCCCTAGGGGATTGTGAGTGGAGAGAAAAGTATGGGAGATCTGTAAGTTAATGATCACTCAAGGAAGCCGGTGTGCTTAACCACAAAACTGAGCAGGGTTTGCTTAGCAACAAAACCATGAAACAGAAGCATGGGACGTGCCCCCAAACAATAAAACAACAGTAATGAGGCCCGCATCCTGCCCAGTGAGCTCCGTAAGTTAATGATTCCTAGGACGCGCTCCTCTGCACACACTAAAAATAAAAATATAAGGCAAAGGTGACATTATCCTAAAACCTGAGATGACTTGCCATTTTTACCACATACCACCCTGTTGCTGAGTTGAGTAGGATCATGACAGTCCCGCTTTGACCACATAAGGACAAGAAAACACCCCCACCCAATGTGGAGGAGGAGCTGCTGATGGAAGCTTGACATCCGCTCAAGAATGAGGAGGAAGGTGGTCTTCTCCTCCTGCCCTTGCTTTTCCTTTGATTATAAACCTATGCCAGGAGAAATATCAATAACCTCAGATATGCAGAAGACACCACACGGATGGCAGAAAGCGGAGAGGAACTAAACAGCCTCTTGATGAAGGTGAAAGAGGAGAGTGAAAAAGCTGGCTTAAAACTCAACATCCAAAAAAACTGAGATCGTGGCATCTAATCCCATTGTGCTCTGTCGCTTCAGTCATGTCTGACTCTTTGTGACCCCGTGGACTGTGGCCCACCAGGCTCCTCTGTCCATGGGATTCTCCAGGCAAGAACACTGGAGTGGGTTGCCATGCCCTGCTCTAGAGAATCTTCCCCATCCAGGGATCGAACCCACATCTCTTACAGTTCCTGCACTGGCAGATACATTCTTTACCACTAGAGCCACCTGGAAGCCCCATCACTTCATGGCAAATAGATGGGAGAAATGGAAATAGGGACACACTTTATTTTATTTATTTCTTTCACTGCAGATGGTGACTGTAGCCATGAAATTAAAAGATGCTTGCTCCTTGGAAGAAAAGCTATGACAAACCTAGACATTGTATTAAAAAGCAGAGACATCACTTTGCCAACAAAGGTCTATATCATCAAAGCTATGGTTTTTCCTGTAGTCATGTAAGAGTGTAAGAGTTGGACCATAAAGAACTGATGCTTTTGAACTGTGTGCTGAAAGAGACTCTTAAGAGTCCCTTAGCTGTGGTACATATACACCATGGAATATTACTCAGCCATTAAAAATAATTCATTTGAATCAGTTCTAGTGAGATGGATGAAACTGGAGCCCATTATACAGAGTGAAGTAAGCCAGAAAGATAAAGACCATTACAGCATACTAACACATATATATGGAATTTAGAAAGATGGTAACGATAACCCTATATGCAAAACAGAAAAAGAGACACAGATGTATAGAACAGACTTTTGGACTCTGTGGGAGAAGGCGAGGGTGGGATGTTTCAAGAGAACAGCATCGAAACATGTATATTATCTATAGTGAAACAGATCACCAGCCCAGGTTGGATGCATGAGCCAAGTGCTCGGGCCTGGTGCACTGGGAAGACCCAGAGGGATCGGGTAGAGAGGGAGGTGGGAGGGGGGATCGGGATGGGGAGTACATGTAAATCCATGGCTGATCCATGTCAATGTATGACAAAACCCACTACAATATTGTAAAGTAATTAGCCTCCAACTAATAAAAATAAATGGAAAAAAATTAAAAATAAAATAATATTGATGTAAAAAAAAAAAAAGAGAAAAGAGTCCCTTGGACTGAAAGGAGACCAAACTAGTAAATCCTAAAGGAAATCAGTCCTGAATATTCATTGTAAGGGCTGGTGCTGAAGCTGAAGCTACAATACTTTAGTCACCTGATGCGAAGAAGTGACTCATTGGAAAAGACCCTGATGCTGGGAAAGATTGAAAGCAGGAGGAGAAGGGGATGACAGAGGATGAGATGGTTGGATGGCATCACCAACTCAATGGACATGAGTTTGAGTAAGCTCCAGGAGCTGTTGTTGGACAGGAAAGCCTGGAGCGCTGCAGTCCTTGGGGTCGAAAAGAGTCAGACACCATTAAGTGATGGAACAACAACAAATAAAACTGTAGCCCCGCCAAGTTCTGGGCATGGCACTCCCTTGCCCACCCGCCTGGATCTCTTACAAGCATCCTATATGAATAAACTCCTTCCTTACCTTCACTCTCAAAGTGATCCACTCTCAGGACAAATAGTGAGTAGAGGCCGTTTCCACTCA